AGTGGTGTATACTCAACTCGAATGTTCGCATTTATAGATTCTATGGCATCAACTTAAACCAAAATGTCGTCCTTCAACAAATTGGCTTCGATGGCTCAAGCGGTTCCACTTACGAACGGCTTTTCCACATCGGTATCGGTAACCTGATCATCACCGCTCTCGGGTTCGTCCCTGGTATATCTCTTTCCTGCTCCACATTTGTGAGTTCTGTACTGAGCAATGTTACAGGATACTACGCCACTGTTTTTACTATCGAGTACCTCGGTAGGAAGTGGATCCAAATCCAAGGTTTCTTATTCGAAGCCCTGTTCCGTAAGTCCCCCTTCTCCTACGTTCATGTGAATGTCGACTAACACTGTGCTTGCAGTTGGTATCTTGGCAGGAAGGTTCCATTCCCTGAGCAAAGTGTCCTTCATTGTCTGCTTCGCCTTCCTCCAATTCTTCTTCAACTTCGGTGCTAACACGTAAGTTCATAGTTCTTATCTCGTTGCCATCTTTTAACTCACATATCGCTCCTTCTGAACAGTACAACCTACTGTTACCCCGCCGAAGTCTTCCCCACCAAATTCCGTGCCACTGCACATGGTATCTCGGCCGCTAGTGGTAAGGCCGGTGCTATCATCTCCGCACTTGCCTTCAACAGTCTCAGCAAGGACATCGGTACCCCTCATGTTCTCTGGAGTACGTCCAATTCACATGCTTCCTCGCTCACTCGAAGCTAACCTTCCCTTTCACTACCTATAGTTTTCGTCGGCTGTTGTCTCGCCGGTGCAGTCTTCACACTTCTCCTTCCCGAGGTCAAGGGCCGTGACCCTGATGCGATCTACGCTGAAGAGTTGCGTGCTCGTGCTCGCGCTCGCGCTTGAAGGTGTTCATATGAACACAATGAACTGAGAAATCATTAATATGCCAAGTTCGAGGAAGGTGTTGACGATGGTGGGGGAGGTGCATCTCAAGAAACCATGCTTGGTTAAAGTATTTTTACGGGGGATGATTTGACACGATATGAGACACAGATGGACTCTGTTAGCCACGACATGTAATAATATTACCGACATTCTATTTCTATAGATAAAGATAAAATGTTCTGGATTAAAATAATATACATATGCTTCGAAAACATGTGTCCGTTTTTTCGGATTCCCACGGTTAGTATGCAAGTTGTATTGAGGTTTATGATTTTGGTAATTTGAAAGTACGCACCTCCGAGTCGCATGCACACTCTGACTTGATATGTCGACAAACCAACACCGAAGGTCATTATTATCTGTCAGGACCACACAGGGCTATTTGCTTTAACATCGAGAAGGTAGGTCGTTCACTGAAAACATTCTCTCGTGACATCCCTACCGAGGGACACGCCGGAGATAGCTAGTAGTATCGAGCTAAAAGAGCAGAGTACGAGACCGACGGCTGTTCTGTTAGCATTCAAGTTGTGCCGTTACTGGCAAACCGTTCTGAAAGCGCTATTCCCTACTCTTGATCATCCACAAGTCCATGGAGATATCACTGGCAACGATAGCAATATAAAGGTGTTGTCCGCAGGTGTTCATTCATCCGGGTATTAGATTGACTAATAGACTGAATAATATGGTTCTGTGACGTAGCAGATGCACACTATGTAGAAGAACTAGGAACCTTACCTCAACTGGTTGCACAATCTAGATCTCCTAAACGACGCGTAATATGTATGGGCAATGTCTATCTACGGCTTGCGCATGGAAACGATGTGCATAATAGGACCTCAATCCAGCTGCTAAAGCTGAAAAGTTGACAGTCAATTTGCTCATTTCGTGCTCGAAGCGTTCGTTTAGATAGGTTGTATTACCGGATCCCCCGTGCCAGTCGGTTTTAGGATCTAATACTGCCGCAGCTTGAAGCTCGAAGCTGATGACATCACACAAACATCCATGCCAAATGCTAAGGGTCGTGATGAATCCGAAGCCACCTCTTTTATAAATAGACTGCCAATGAACGAACCCTGCTCTCCATTCCCACAACCAACCACAACCATGACAAGTCAAGAGGCCTCTGCATTCAGAATCGCAATTGCGTACGTCATCTTATCCTATATTATAGGCCGGTAGACCTTCCACATAACTAATCATTTTACTTTTAGTGGTGGAGGTATTGCAGGCCTTACCCTCGCCCTTGTCCTGAAGAAATTCAAAAATGACAAGAATATAGTCATTGACTTGTATGAAGCACGCCATAAATTCTCCGAAAGTGGTGCTGGGATAACTGCATGGCTACGGACCCGTTCTATCTTCGACACCCTTGGGCTTGGAGAAAATTTCGAGAAGAGGACTGCGTCCCCTCGTATGATGTTCCGTAAAGGCAATAACCAGGATCCATTCTTCTTCTATGAATTCGAGGTGCCCCGTAAGTTGACCTTCGCATATCATCTTGCACTATAGAGCCGACCGTTAATCTACCTTAGATGGCTCCGCTACTTTATCTCGCCAAGATATGTTGGATATACTTGTCGATGATCTCTCGCCAGAATTACTTCCATACCTCCACATACATTTGTGCAAAAAGCTTGTATCCTACGAGCAGGATGCAGACGCTGTGGTAATGCACTTTGAAGATGGTTCCTCGGCACAAGCAGATATCTTGATAGGTGCTGATGGGCTAGCTTCACCAACTCGGAAGGAGATGTACACGAAGATGAGCGAAGACATGCGAGGTATTGACCCAGAGCGAGCAGACATCTTAAAGAAACATTGTCTGCCTAGCTGGATAGGCACTCACGCGTATAGAGCACTCTTGAACCATCGAAGGATAGAGAAAATCAATCCTAACAATATTTTCTTGAACCAATTGATTGTGGTAAGTCTCAATTTGTACATCATTTGGCTATCGTGTTGACCTGATATATATAGGGATTTGGGGTCAGACAGGTCAGTATCCCACATTACCATATACTATTTCGGATCGATGCTCACGAACCATAATAGCACATCATCTCATATCCAATCTCACCAGAAGTCATTAACATCCTGTTCTTTGACACCTCTCCGAATAGTATTGACAAGCCGCTCCAAGGTCCTTCAATGGTTCCATCGTCCAAAGAAGAGATAATGGCTCTTTACAAGGACTGGGAAGGCGACGCTCGTGAAGTCATTGAGGTTTGTATTTTCACAACTGAATCCTATATGATCTAACGCCGCTCAATCACTATTTTTCAGACCATTGATGATACGTCTCGATGGGCCATGAGTCACGTTCGCGCATTGCCTACTTATGTCGATTGTAGGGTTGCGTTGGTGGGAGACTCGGTAAATAGACAACAACATGGTCATAAATTTGTGTTTGCTGATACGTTTTTAGGCTCATGCAATGGCTACTCACCTTGGTGCCGGTGCCGGTCAAGCAGTTGAGGTATATTCGATACTTTCATTATCAAAAAATTCTCAGCTCATAATCAACCGACCGAATTCTACTAGGATGCTTACATCCTGGGGCATATTCTAGCCGATCCGATTGTCAATAAAGACAATGTAATTCAGGCACTAAATGTATATGATACAATCCGCCGACCTATTGCACATGACGTAGTGGAAGAGTCTCTTCGACTCGGTGGTGTATACGAGTTGGACCCTACGGCCATGAGAGAGGACATGGACAGTGCGAAGCTAGAAGCGGGGGACCGCGAAGAATTGCAGAAGCTAGTTTCGGTGTTCCGAGACATAACTACTGTTCATTTTACCGGAATGCCGGAGAATGATTGGTATCAGGCTCGTGCAATGTTGTATGGCCGGCTTCACAAACAAAACGGGCACTTGTAACTCCAATAGATTTTTGTCAATCAAAGCAGGACGGTAAATCGTGTAATATTCCTTGACCATGAACCATTACGGTATATCTAGGAGGAAACATAATATTTGAGTAACGATGATTCCACTTCAAGTTAAGTTACTGTTACTGTATAGAGATACAATAGCCTCAGTTGAATGGGCCGGGTATTCAAATTTTCAAATAGAGTTCCAAGCGCCCATAGTGTATTTTCCCTCCGTTCTACAAGTACTTCCGTTACTCTGCTTCGCCGACCAACGATTTCGTTCTATCCTCTATTGACTTAGAAAGACACCAGAATCATGCCACATAAACGTGCTAAGCGGTCCGTACGTGAGAAGCTTCGCTCGGATACGTATGTATGACACCTCCCTATAGCGATGCATTACCGTTAATGTGCCATTAGCGGAGTGGATACTGCTCCGGAGAAGAGATCTCTGAGTAAAGAGGAGGTACCCAAGAGTGTTTCTCGTATACTCAATGCTGCAAAGATTCAACAAGAATGGCGAGCAAAACACAAACGCAATTCTGAAGATGCTGAGTTGGAGGCTGGCCCTGCTCGCAAGAAGCAGAAAAGGGCTTCTAAAAGTGCGGACGGCTCAAATGCCTCTGATCTGCGAATCAAACCTGGAGAATCACTCGCACACTTTAATAGGTACGTTTCTCGACCCATCATGTCCATTGCCATACTTTACAAGTGAATATTAGACGGGTTGAGAACTCTATGCGCGGCGATGTTCGTACGGCCATGCAGACATCATCTTCAGTCGCACGAAAAGTAAAGAAGGAAGAAGCGATCTCGAAAGGGAAACAGTCGAAATCGAATCCTATTCAAGGGAAGAAAACGAAACCTGATTCTGAAGATGACGCCGAAGAGGAGGGGAAATCAAATCAGTCGACACAATCTCAGCCCAAAGAGTTCACTGTACTCTCTACTTCGACCCCTCGTCGCTTGAACGATATAGTCATGGCACCCCCGGAAATCAAGAAATTACCAAGAGGAGCTAAATTGAAGAATCAAGTATCGTCCTCACAAAGTCTCAAGGATGGAGTCTTGTCCATGGCTCAGAAGGCTATGTTGGAGGAGGAACGCGAGAGGGCTATCAGGCTCTATCGCGAGATGAAGCAAAAGAATTTAGGCGGTTGAAAAACTTGTAGCAACGTCGGTTGTATTTGTACTCGAAATGTAATCAAAATATTTTTGCCACGTACCTGGATTGAACAAGTGACCTTTGCATCTACGCTTACGTAATCTGAATTACGCAAACTACAAGTGCAACGCGCTACCACTACGCCAACGCGGCATTCGCCTCCCAACTTTGCCCATTGTTTCTATCGAGTATCTTCAAATCTACATCTTCACATCCGCAAAGAACACTGATTCTTGAACCATTCAAAGTCCGAGTCAACATTTTTAATGTTTGTACAAGAGTATGATCATTAGAAATCAAAACAATAAAGATATAAGCGAAAAGCGTCCTTTCAATAATACAAATGCACTGGAAAGTTACTACAACCTCGACATGTTCGTCTCCTCAGACTAGGCGGCCTTATCAATATCAATCGGAATTTTTGGGAGGGGCCTATGCATTCGAGCATGGAATGAAGTCGGAGAGTAAACTGAAGCCGTGGATTGCGACTTCGCGCCCGCCTCCTTAAGCTGTCGTACCATCGAAGTGCATACTCCAGTGCGCACATCTATTGGCAGACGTCTGACAGTAAAGTGGTGGTTAAAAACAGTAATCGGAGAGTCAATACTCGATCGTGAGAGCAAACTGTCTAGCTCTCCCTCCGAGGTAGGCGTTATAACATCTTCGTTCGAGTCGAAGAATTTATCATAACGGCCACTGAGTACGGCTTCAAGCAGGTCTGACATGCCTGCGTCGAGGAGCGTTAATGCGTGTCTCGGACAAATTGTGATGACTTGACGACACATCATGATGAATCTGTCAATTGGGTTGGTCACTTCTGATCCACGGGCCTTGGCGTTGGTATCCAGCCTTCTGAGGAACGTGACAGTGTCAGATGGGAGCTCAAAGTAGCCTTCGTAAATATTGAGGTCGGATACTTTGAGGAATTGGTGGATAATGTACTGGAAGGCGTGGAAGGCTCGCATGTAGGGCATACCGATGATTGTATGTACTGCAGCACGCCAATAGTCCTCAGGCGTGGAAGTGCATGAGAACAAGATACGCACAGCGGCGTCCTTTACGTCAGTAGCTCCTCGGTTTGTGGTGTCTTCAATTCTGAAGGATACAATATGAGTAACGGGTATGAAAGAAAGTTAACGTTCACTCACGCTATGATGCCGGTCACGATTCTCCAGAGCTTATACATACTATCTGTTTCCGTGGTATGATAATCTTCTAGGATCGCACAATTTGCTACACATACTTCCATGAGAATAGTGGTAGCGAATTTGCCGGGTGTACTTCCTTGGCGACACGCCCGCGAGGGAAAAATTCTGTAAGTCTCATATTCCACACTCTCGCCTCTATCATGGCTACGTCCCAATGGAGTTTCAGAATATTTCCGGCACTGATCTTCGCTAGTCGAAGCATATGGTTCGCAAACTCTCGCACTGAAGGATGATGGCGTGCTAGAGAGCCTAGAACGAAGAGCGAGGTAATGATCATGCAATTGCGCCTATGGGCCTCCGGCCAATGTATAAGAACTTTAGTTTCTGAAAAAGGCTCTGCTATGTCGGGGAATCCTTGCAACCAAAGTTTCCTGATGGTATTCAGGATCCCGGCATTGATGAAGAGATCGGCAGCTTGCGGAAGATGGAAGGCAATGCGGAAGGCAAGTTGAAAGAAAGGGAGTGTTGGGTGGAGTGTAACACCACGATCATCGCAATGGGTTGTTCTAAGGGCCGGGTAGGTGTTGTAAATAGAAGTGATATAGTTCTCAGCGGGATTGTTATCAGCGAACGGTCGAATGAAGGACATGATAACGTCGACGAGTTTGTGAAGATTGAATAACATCGTCTTTGAGTTTCGAGTGGTCAACAGATATTGTACGAAACATTCCGCTGGAGGTGGGAGGTCGCACCTGTCGATTGTAGAGAATACTTCGGGGACGGCAGGCAAAGTACTGGCGAGGAGTGCGTCAAAAAATCGGTATAAAGGGAGGTAAGAATCAGTCGGTCCGCTAGTATGACGTTCCGTGAGAAGGGTGACCATAGTAGCCATGCTGAGACTAGAGTGAATCACGGTCCGACCACGATTATTTTCAAGAAGGTGTCTAAAGACCAGGCAAAATCGAGGCTGGTAATGTGTAAATGTCGACCATGGAGTCGCCATATCGTCCAGTTTAGCTAGCTTCCTGAGAACGTCTATCACGACGCTCTCTGGGAACAACATCAAATTTTCGACAATCGCCCTTGTCCGCGAGGAGGTAATTTGCCGTACTAGCATATTCCATGCCCTTGTTGCGACAAAGGATGGATACGCATTCTGTCTAAAGACCGGAGTTAGAGCTGATTCCGTAGTAAGAGATTATTGACATCTATCATACCTTTGTAATTCAATTAAATCTTGGTAGAATTGATCGGGAATATCATCCGACCTATTCAATCTGGTTGAGATTCTCCACAGTCGAACGTGTACATGAAGTGCGCCAAGGACGGCTTGTCGTGCGAGAATTCGAATGGGAATCAATGGTTGGTCCTTTGGGTAAGACAAGAAATGTGCGCGGGCCGTAGGGGCTATTGTGCTCGTCGTCGTCACGGAGAATGATGATGCCTTTGCAGCAAGTACTGCATAGTGACCATGCAACGTAGTGGAGGATGCATCCATAGAAATTTTTTCCTTTTCCGCCGCTTTTTCCGTGCACGAAGATGAGAATACAGTGAGTGTCTGAGCCTCCTCTGTACAAATCCCTGTTACAGAGTCTGGAGCCTCCTCATCTGACTCCCGACCGAGGATGAGAGTGTCATCTTGAGAGATATATGCTTCCTCGCGCATCGTTCTGTTGCCCGTGGCGTATCCACCGAGAGCGTAAGGCATGGGATGAAATGAAGGCAAAGGTATCCTGAGAGGTGAGACGCAGGAAAGGCGGAGCAGAACGAGGAATCAAGGGTCAGAATACACAGAGGCCCTGTAGATGTTTAGGCTGTGCATCTGAGATGTGTATAGGTATGTAGACCTGATATAGATACTTTGCCAATTCTGCATGATGTGATGTGCCAGACAGAACAAGCGTGTGAATCTTAGAAAGGCTGAAACATTGACATTCAACAATCAATTCCTCCAGACTTCGCCGCTATATGTCACATAGCGATCATAGCACCATGGACAGCGACGCTGGATGAGCTGAGGCGGAGCTGTGAAAAGCTATTCCGCTAGAATAGACTGTCAAGTAGAACAGTTTCGTGCGTTCTACGCGTTCTTGTCATCGTGATGATCATGATCCTGATACCTGGAAGTCGTCCCGCGTCTCTTATCCATAAATCCCGTCTTAAGAAGCACAAACCTTAAATAGACACCATATTATTCTCGTCAAAGTGTGAGTATATGTATATCGAATGGTTACTCACTGTATAATTATAATTCATGGGGTAAAAGTGTGCTAGAATACTAAGCATGCTATCAGTGGGTGATGACCTGTGATGACCGTCACTCACAAGGCTGTTGCGTTGGCGCTTCGAGAAACTCGCGCTATAGCCTCCTCAGGCAGCGAGCCCGAAGCCTACCGATTAAGAGACTCTTGCAAGAAGGTGATGTGGCTTGATTGAATCATCAAGATGCGTCACCTAGTACTAGTAGTTTTTAGTGAAACACGAGGCGAACGCACTGCCCCACAAGTGATATTAGTGTCACCCAATTTGTTTCCGAATACTTCGGCTGTTGCAAGCATCGAATATATGTCAATGTAATGGGGATACACATATGGATTCCGTCATGACAATCGAGTAGTAAGTGGACTTTCCGGGCCCTGATACTCGAACTCAAATAATAGGTCTATACCATGTGATCGTGGGGTGTTTGTCAGTGGAAGCACACGGTCGCCGAAATCACCGTCGTACCCCGCATTTATAACAACCTCACCCTCGACCAACCAACGCCCCTGACTCTTTAACCATGGAAAACGCTTTGAATGTTCGCAAACCCACTGTAGATCGTGGCTACCTGCCCATTGCCGATCATGGATTGTTGGTATATCATCTAATGCCAAATAAACCGTTCTAAAACATTTATTTATAGGATAGGGAATTTGAGAACGGCTGCTCTGGTGTGTATATCTGGTATGCCGGTATCATGATATAGACATTTTAAAATATAATTACAGGTTAGCATCGATGGATCCGGTGAGTAACAACGTTACAACACCTGGTCCACCCCCAAAGACCTATGACATCATAGTTGAAAGTTACTGCGTCCCCAACTTTGATTCTCCGTCGGTCTTTGCTCGTATTCTGGATAAGAATAAGGTAATTAATATCACGGCATTATATAATTCCGTCTGACTCTGAATGGTATCAAGGGTGGTCACTTCTCAATTACACCCACCGTACCATTCACCACAAAACAAAGTTACCTTCCCAGTTCTAACGTAAGTACCGAAGATTTGCCGCACAGCCGTTCTTTCATATAAGGCTTTGTTTGCTTGTGCAGGTCTTGCAAACCAAGTACATCCTCAGGGAGTTTTACTCGAATGTATCTCTGCTGACAAATCCGACAGATTTCTGAATGACAAAGGTGTAGCAACCGTGACAGGTACACATGTCATTTCTCCTCCATGATGACTAATAATTGTTTACTCAGATTTTCTCCCCCGCCAGCCAAGCAGCAACACTGCTCGTCCGTTACTCTCCTGGTTGATACGCAGAGTAGAGGTACCATTGTCGCATTTTTCTAATTTCCACAATGTTGAACGTACATCTAAGGTTGTCCGAGGAACTATTTCTCTCCGCGTCGAATGTGCACCAGCGTTCAACTATGCACGGTCTTCACATACGCTCAAGATAGTACCAGATCTCTCTATTCCTGCAACGGAATCCAATCCCGAACCACACCATAGGGCTTTGTTCACCTCCGCCGAAGCTCAGCTCGACTTGGATTTGCGTTACGTTACAGAATCCGGTCTCAGCGGGGTTCCGGAACCTCGCGTGGAGATCAAGGAGTTAGATTTGACGAACAAAGGCCATCTAGGGAAAAGTGTATGTGTCGATTTAAATCTGAAGGAAGGACAGGCCATCACGTTCATCCTGCGGTCACCACCCAACCATGATTACCCGGACGCAGCAAGGCCCAACCCCTCGAAGGCCAAAGAGCTTGGTGTTTCTTATGAGAGTAAGATGGAT